AGCTGTGCCCAGCAACTATGTTGGCCCCAGCAGCCTTACTTGGGGTCTTGCAGAACTCTGAGAGCTGCAGCCATGGCAGTCCTGCAGCAGGGAGCCTGGCCAGCAGCTGGAGTGTGGCTCTGGCTGGCCAGGTTCCAATTTTGGGCAAGACACACCGCTGCCACATGCACTGCCTTGCTTTTTTTAGGCATGGCTTTTTTTCACCCTTGGATCTCCTGGGGTCAACCCCCTACCTACACTAAAAATTAGCAGCATGGGGAATGCCTGCATATGTGGCACTGCAGATGGGTCTGCGGTTCTGCATATTGCACATCCACACTCATCTGGATATGCCCATTCTGTGTAAAGCAGTGATTCAGAGTGTGATTGAGAGAAGCAGAGAAGGTATGCTAAGGAAGGCAAAAGCAGAATGTGAATAGAAAATTAATCTGATGGTTAGGTATGCAGATTTCTGAGTGATCAGACGGAAGGAATTCATCCCAATCATGACCAATAGCAATCTGGGTGCTATCTGGAAGATTTTTGACACAATAATCACTACTAATGTTTCTAGTAGTTTGGATCATTATTTGTATTACTGTACAGTGAGACACATTTTGTGTTTATGTTATTTATTTATCAAATGCAATATTGACCATAGGCTAAGTCATACATTCATAGGTACTACAATGGTCTGTGTTGTATTGTCAACAGTACTGCTCACTAACATGCAATAGATTTTTGTGTGATGATTATACTCTCTAGTACAGTACTGCACTGTTTTAATGTGTGATTAACATTTGCTTCCACCTTCTATTGTTGTTCATAAGAGAACTAATATCTTCATCACAGATTCCTAGAAATTCTGAGTCTTCTTTTTACCATGACTAATGCAAAAACTCCATGGAAAAAAAATTCTGTGAAAACCATTTTTTTGTTCTTTTTGTTGCCATTTTACACCTGCTGTAAAAATGCTGGGTGGAAAATGTTATCGGTTAAAGGCTATACTTAATACATAGTCTTAAATTTTTTGACTGCATGTCTTAAATGTGGAGGTTGATTTTTCTACCCAGGATAGCAGCAGTGGCATTTCTATTCAGTCTGTACTGAGGGAGTCAGTTGATTTTATGACTCATTAGAATATGCTACATTTCTGCTAATTGCTTTTTACTCAAATTAATGATCCACTCTTCTTTTTTTTAATGGTCTTGATGTTCTACTAGTCAAGCTGTTCTTCTTCAGCAATTGTTGTTCCACTACTCCTGGTCTATTTTTTTTCTCATTTCACAGTCCTGCAAACTATTTTTAGGTCTTTTTCAAAATCCTAGATCTTCCCATGGAGTCCAGCCTTCAGCAGCAGCTACGGTATTAGCATCTGGCAGAACAGCCAAGAACTATTCACAACTTTGAAAACTTTGAAAGGGTTGAAACAGTAGCTTTTGTCTAAGCAGGGAAAAAAAAGATTTTTCTAGAGTTATGGCTCCACACAGTAGGGGGCAAAATCTGAACTGTATGCAACCATAAGACTTGAAAAATCTTTTTTTCTTCATTTTGCCTTCCCAAAATTAAGATATATGTTTTATTTTGAGGTATACGATATGCTAGAAAATATGGTCTCATGAGACAGTCTCATGAGAAAGAATGACCCTTATGACTGTATCTTTATGGTATGAATAATATTCTGCAGAAAGGGTGCTACTTCTACTTGGGACTCAAAGTGCTGAATCATCTTCTGGATTAAGTCTTCTCTTTCAAAAAATAAGGAGGTCTTAAGACAGGGGAGGAGGAGAAACTTCCCTTTTCCCTTTTAGCCAGTAAATTTAGGCAATAGATTAATGGGCCAAAAAAGGAAAGCATGTCTAGGGCATACGGCATTCACCAGAACAATCTGTGTGTCAGAGAGAAATCTTGTATATAACCCCTAATGTTCCAACAAATATTTCAGTATTTTATGTTAAGTAACCATTGAAGCAGGGATGAAAACTCGTATCTCTAACCTCCTTTGGTGAGTGTCATAAGTACTAAGCTAGGGAGTCTCTAGTTCACTATCTTCACACCCCATTATGTTTTTTTTTTAATTGATTAGAGCAGTGTCCTGAAGACTGATCCTCAAGCAAATGAAGAAACTGTATCCAGGTCTCCTAGAACCTGGATGAAATTTCTTACCCTACCTATTTCTCCATCTCTACCGCCCACATCATGTGTTTTGTTGAGTCTGATCCATCAGTCTTGGTCTGAAAATGCTTGCTGGATGAGGTCTTGTAGGTGAGATAGATTTGTGAAACCCAGCAGGATTTTGGCATAAGTGTTTTTGTGTTCAGCTCTGTTAAGAGTAAGGCAGTCGTAACCATGCTCAGAAATGCAGAAATGGAAACTTGGACATTTTAAGGTTAGAAATTTCTAGGAGCTTTTGGAGCTTCATAGGCTAAACAGCAACCAAGTATGGGTTTTGAGGATCTAAATTTTGGACACAGGCATGTAAAACCACCTGTTAGGCCTAAATTGCATGTGCACCATTTTGTGGTTTTGGCTTTATAGGCATATGTAGAGTCTCAGTTTTTCCTTCTCAAAAGGTTTAGAGAAGATATATCATAAAGGGCCTTCAGTTTTAGTGTGTCTAAAAGTAATTTAGCTAACCAATTTTTTTTTCCAGTCTGCCCATACCAAGTTAAAGACAACTTGCTTCTTTGAATACACTTTTCCTGGAACATAGGGTCCAACATTAGCTTTCTAACGTTACATATGAGAAGTAAATTATTGTACTAAGGTTTGCTGTTGTTCCAGCAAAACAAGGGGCTTGACTTTCCAGTTCCAATGCATTTTGCACAATCCTGAAAACATGTAAAAAGTGAATGAAATGTGTATGTGAAATATAATCAATATGATTTGATAGCTATTTAGATGTGTTATGCCCTAATTTTGCACAGGTGGGAAAGACAGTACAAGATACAAGGGAATTGCACTGGAACCCTGGAACCTGTGGAATAGGATAGGATGTTCCAGTGAGAAGGCATTTCAAATGTATATGGTATAGTTTCACATGGATTTTCAGTCTCCTCTTTTTTATATACAGCAATATGTGCTTAATTCTGTTTGTAATAGTTGAAGATCACCTACAGAATGAAAGAGGTGCTGTATCTACTGAGTTTTTTTCTTACATGGGGCTGATATTCCAAGTTATGTAGCACTGCAATTTTTACTTGCAGCAGCAATCTTCAGTCATTACATAGTAAATACAAAACTAAAATTCTCAAGGCAAATGGATGCATTTGTTATTTCCACAGTTTTGTTTTGTCTTGATATATAAATAGATTGCTATTATTTTTAGCAGTTATTAAAACAGCTTCTAATAGAGATGACTTTGTTTATTTCAAAGGGAGTAAAAATACGAAACCAGAACATCAGCTAGTATAAACTCATAGATTTTCATTGTATCCAAGGGAACCAGACTGATTTATGGTAATGGAAGTTCTAGATCATCTCTAATTCTAAAATGCTGATTTCCAAATAGATAAATGGTTTCTACTTGTGGTCAAAGAGCACAGATGAATGTGTCATGCTACTTAAGCCAAAATAATTCGTTTACAGACCATTAGATGAAAAAATTAACAAAACTTCTTACCTTCAGTGTTTGTCATTAAAAGTCCATGAAATTAATGTCTCCTCAAAATACCAACAAACTACAAGAGGGCAGAGTCTTGTTAAACATGAAGTTTTGTTATCCCACAATGAAAGATTTTAACACCTCAGATAATCTGCTGGTCAAAAAATACTTCATTTAGACTGAACAAGAGAAAATTTGTGGGAAGCAATATATAATTAGCTTGTCCTCCTCACATGAGGTTAAATATAGCATAACATTTCGTTTCTCAAGTATCTATCCATAACACTAGATCAAAACTAAAATATGTTCTTTTAAATATTTATAGTATCTAACAGGTACAATTATTACAGTTAATCAATAACAGTATTATAACAATCATATATTAATTTGCTATGTTTGGTATGTTAGGTCATAATTTTAAATTTTGGATTTGCTGCTCAGTCCTGAAGGTGTTGAGCACTAAGCATTGTGCCAGGATAAAAATTAGAAGGCAGTAGTATAACTAGGGGGCTCTAATGGGGATAGGGTTGGGGGATTGTGATAAAAAAACAGCTTTTTGTGCAGCCATTCAATTGTGATTGTAGTGGCAGTGACAAACCAAAGTTGCCACTGCCCCTGTGTGCGGTAGTTACCCCAAGTGCCCTGCACTGGGTACTTATACTGCTGTTGGAAGGGGTTTATTTTTCAGTTCTAGCTTTGAATCAACAGTAATTTTGTGAAAACAGTTATTCCTCTGGGATTTCTGCCTGGTTTCAAAGCTCAGCAAAGCACTTCACTATGTTTATTTTCACCCATGTAATTCTTGTCTTTTTTTTTTTTGTTTTGTTTTTTTTACTTTAATAGGTTTTTCATGAACTTGAATTTAAGCATAGACTTGATTATACTCTCCACAGTTAAGCTCCCAGTTCATATTGCTGGTTTTCATTACTACATTGTTTTCTCTTACTACATTTGGAAAATAAGTATTTGTTTTAATTTTGCTTCTTTTTTTTATGCATATATATATATATATATATATATATATATTAATAATTTCTTTTATGGAAATAAACGAGAGAAATTCTGAGACAAGTTAGCACTTAAAAGATGTGTGTGACTTATCCACAGGGGAATAAAGGCCTTTATTTTTTGACATCGCAGTGGATTAAGTGACCCTTTCTTTTTGTTAACCAGGGTTGAATAGAGCTAAAGGGGTTTCAAAGAAAATTGCACAAATGCAGTATGACTGATCTGAATCAGCCACTGCCAAAGTATAATATATCTATATGATCAAAGGGATTTCAGGCTAGTGAGCACTACATTGGTTTAATTATGTACCATAGGTAGGTTATAAAGGTTCATGGAACATCCTATATTTTTAATTCACTTTTATATAATACCTATTCTGACCAATCTCTATATGTTTTGTTTTCTTTAGGCTGTACTTTGGAGGTACAAGTTTTCTCAACTTAAAGGCTCTTCAGATGATGGCAAGAGCAAAATCAAGTTTTTGTTCCAAAATCCAGATACTAAGCAGATTGAAGCAAAGGTAAAAATAAAATATTTATCATATCATAAAGTCAGAAGTACATTAACAGTTAACCAAACAACCAAGATGTGGCAGGACACTGCTGGTGCCTGCCGCTTTAAGGGCTGAGCGAAGCAGCCAGCAGGTGCTTGATTGTGGCAGCCATTTTAGATCTCTGGCCGCCTATATAAACACAGCAGTTTGCTGTTGGCAGGCCAGGCAGAAACATTGCCTGACTGCAAGGCTGCATGCAACAGCCTAGAGGTAAGGGCAGGAGCTGTAGGGGATGGTTTGGAGGCTCCTGGTCCTGGGCATGACCTAAAACTGCACCCTGCCAGGAGTAGGTGGCCTGGTGGGGTTCTGAGTGGCGCAGGAGCCCCCAGGAAATACCAGACCAGTTACCACCCCGGTGAAAAGTGGATTGCGGAGCCTTAACCCCAGCTCCCACAACCGGGTAAGTTAACCCATAGTTGGGCCAAGAAGGTGGACCCAGGTTAGAGAGTGGGCTATAGGCTCAAAAGCCTGACTTAGAATACCTTCAACTGGTCAGTGCTGGGGCCAGGACCAGAACAGTCAAAAGGGCCAGGGGCCCACCATGAGAGATGCCCAGAGCTGAGGGCCTGGGGTTTCCGACTGGCCTTGGAGGTTAGGCCAGGGCCTGTGTGGCCAAAGGTCCCAGGGGGACCACATCTGAGAGTGGAAAGAGTTCAGGGAGCTAGGCAGCCCAGAATGAGGGTGGAGTAGGTCACCTGATTGGAGAGAACCTAGTTGGGGGTCTGGATTGTAGGATTATGGGGCCCAGTGTGAGGATGGTGATGATAAGAACTTTGGATGCCATCTGCAAAGCTTGGGCTGTGGTGTAGGGGAGGACTGGAGCCACATAGGGAAGGAACGGAGCCGCAGATAGTGCCCCCGGGCATTGGGGCAAGAAATGGGCAGCCTCCTGTCTAATTAACAACATAATAATATATCATCAAGGCATAGCAGGAGAGGAGGCAGGTGGTTGGCCTGGAAACAGGTGGGCAGGCAGTTGGTAGACTGGCCCTGAGGGAGCCCCCTGTTACACAAGGAAAGAGAGAATTAAGTTCAGTCTAACTGACCAATGCTGAAATGATATTCAGTTTAATGCATAAAGTTAGGGAGAGAAGCAAAATTAGTAGATATTCAGTAGAGTTGTATGAATTGTTGCACAATGAAATTGGCCAGTTTGGAATTTTTGGTAGGTTTTTACAAGTTTTTAAAATAATTTAAGTGATATCAATGTATTTATACACTGTTTATAGTTTTTGTGAATGATAGCTTATAGATAGATGATTCTTTTTTTATCATAATAAGAAGACCACAAGGCATATATAGTTACGTTGGATCTTATTCTCTGTCTTTATACTGTCTTCATTCTTCTCTTCCTCCCTATCAGGAATGATATGGATTGTATTCTAAGGTATATGTAACACCAAAGGTAGTGATGGTCTATATAGCTCCTTGATTTTTCTTGAAGAAGTCATCAGCATAATTTTGTTTCTGTGCCAGATTCAAAATGAGAATGAATCTAATTCTCAGTTTTGGTTCTGAATCAACTGTAAACTCATGAAAATAGCATTTCCTGCGAGATTTCTTCCTGGTTTGGTCAATAAGTTATAAATGATATTACAAGACTTATACAGATCTATATACTTGTAGAAAACTTATTCTTACAATAACTTGGTTAACTGTAACTTCACTTAAATCTAAACCCTAATCTTGATTTGAACCAAAACCTCTAAAAAAAAAAAAAAAAAAATCAGTATAAACTTAAAAAACATTAAAAACACCAATTCCTTAGCTATCTGTGGGCACATCCCATGCTGTGGTGAGGCTCTAGCTTAATAGAAAGAGTTTTTTCTTCCTGTAATGGAGGAGAATGATCTGAATTAATGTAATAAGTAAAGAGCTCAGAAGTAAAAATGAAAGTGTTGTATTAGTGTCTCAAAGGACTAGGGATCTACATAATTCATCATTATTAATTCATATTGGGAGAAAAACACTATACTTGCTTGCCACTTGTAAAATTTAAAGAAAAATGGTTGATGCATGATAATCCCAGTGAAGATCTTCATCTTTTCTTCCTACACTACCTTTTGTGTTTTAATAACATTTGTTTACTGAATTGTTTTTATTTTATGTGTTGAAGCTATCGTCTCAATTACAAATTTTGTTTAAAGTTGTGTGTATAAAAGCTACCACTGAAATCAGTGGCAGAAAATTGTGGCAAAATATGGTCTTCAGAACTTTTTAGTTTTAATACATTTTAAAGAAGATGAATATATTCATACTTGTTTCCTTCAAATAGCTATAAAAAGAAATTCTTAATGTGTTAATGCGAGGCAAGATCACTGACCCTATTTCCTGTGGCTATTTTTTTCTTAAAGAAAATAATTAGTAATTTGTATCATGCTCCTAAGTACAGTCACAGCACAAAACTAACCATTCTTTACATTTTTATTATCAGTCTCCAATTGCTGTTCTGGGAACGTCTTCATTTTATGACTAGTTAAACTAATGATGCAATAATTTCTTTGGCATTTTCTTAAAACAAGCATGGTGTGAAGTTTCTTGCTTTCAGATAAATTAAAATAACCTTTTAATGGATTAAATTAAACATGATATGTCATACAAAGTCTATAGTTTGATGAAACATGACAATTTGGCCCTGGACATTTCTGTATTTCTAATTTAGTCTCATAATGCTTACATATAGCTTTGTTAGGCATCTTGAGAGGTCCTTATGATGGTGCTGTATGAATAGTAAGTATTGCCAAAGGCCAGATTCTGCTACTCTTGCTCATGCTGGGCAGGACCTTTCTATGCAGTAATTTCCAATGAAACCAAGTGTGTGGAAGGGTGGTGGATTCTTGCCCTATTTATTATTATCATTATAAATATGCTATTACAATCCCTAGTTTCTTCATAAAGTTTTCTTTTTATTATGGTAGAATGTTTTCCTGATGTCTGGAAGCAAGCATCTGTTATTTTTATTTTATTTATTTTCTCTTAATGATCAAAGCATAACAGATTGGAATATAATTAAAGAATCTCATACTCTATCAGCACAGGAAAGCACTAAGGCATTTGAATTGAGTTAGATCTAGTTATTTCAACTTGCTGATGTATGAACTGTGGCATACACTCTATATGAGCTAACATATCCAGTCTCCAGCACAAATCAGATTGTTTGTACAACAATTATGTTGTAAATTAAATGTATAGGATACATCCCCAAAGAGCACACATGCACTTCTTGTGGGTTAAATATCAGTGCCACATATTTGTGCCGCTGCTATTTGTCCCCAAGCACGCTTCTACCCATGCACTCCAGGACACGCCCAGGTAACCTCAGTGGGGTAGGGGAGTCCGGGGCCAGCACCTGTGATGGCCCCAGCAGCCTTACCTGAGGTCTTGGGGGCCTCCCAGGGTAGCAGCGGTGCCAAGCCAGCCACTCATAGCCTGGTTGGCAGCCATAGTGCACTCTGGCCAGCCCGGGTCTGTTCTGGTGGTGCACACTACTGCTGCATGCACCACAGCACTTTTTTCAGTGGTGCCAAATTAAAACTGCTGCACTGCAAACTAGCAGTGTGGCAAATGAGTACACATGTGCTGTGTGTGGTTAGCAATGCCTGGAACTGCTTTGAGGCACCACAAACTGCACATGCACAATCATCAGGATGCACCCATAGGGCTCATTCTTTGATCTTACCTTTAAATCACTCTGTGCACAAGGGAATATTATGCACAAGGAAATACATATTCTTTTCTCATTCTCTCAAGGGACAGTTTACACTTATTCTTGTGTCCTGTCAGGATTCCCTCACTCAGAGAGGAGGCAGCTATTTGATAGCAGGAGTTAAAAAAATCAGCAGTAGCCTAATCAAAATCAGAGGAACTTCTCACACAAAGAACTGCTCACCATGATTGAAGGTGGTACAAAGTAGCCCTATTGCTTTGTTACTTACAAGGTTTACCTAACTTTCTCTTTTTTAACACTTCGTTCTCATTGGGAAATGTTGATTGGATTTTCAGAAATGCCTGTAATCCTGGATTTCATGTGTAGCACGGTGTCTGAAGACTTCATTTAAAATTAGATCTTGGGAATTTTCCAGAGCATCTGTTAAAGATTTTAATGAATATTCATAACTATAGCTATCTTACTAAGAAGTAAATGGCCTGTTAGGCATGGTCTTGTACTGTGGATGGCTCAGAGCCATACTGCCCTGGGGAACATAGGAAATCATTATGCCACAGATGGATGTAACATTCTATATCCTATTACATCTCTAAGATGTCTGTTTTTGCTGCCACAAGCCCATTAGCACATATCCAGCCTCAAGTGTGTCGTCCTATTCCACCCAGGGCAACAAATATCTTTCCCATTTTGGCAGTGGGCAGCCTTTTACCATTCTAGAGGACAGTACTATGGCCCTTCCATTTTCTCAGTGAACAGCTTCTCTGCATATGCTTGCATCATGTCTGGATCCTCTCACAACAGGGATAGTTACCTGGCAGAGAGCAGCACTGATTTCAGTCATGGTGCCCAGCTTTTGCACGATGTCCCAGAATTTAAGATCTAGGAAGTGGGAGGCCTGGGTTCTAGGCCTAGCCCACCCTGAAGGGATTTAAACCCACATTTTGCACTTCCCAGGAATGTATCCTAACCACCAGGCAGGGGACTAAGCAGTAGGGTTGTGTGAAATTTCACTGGCCGGTGCTTGAGGTGCAGTTTCCCAGAAACCCCTGCACCTATATCCTTGAAAGCTGGCAGGCTTTGTGGCCTCAGCAGGGGCTACCATGTCTGTAGTTTTCACCCTGCTGTGCCTTAACATATACACGTGACATAAGTTTTGATTGTCAAAAGCTTGAGGTACAGTTTCCCAGAAACTCCTCCACCTATCTCTTTGAAACATTGAAGGCTTCATGCCATCAGAAGTGGCAAGATTCCCTGCTATTTTCATCCCAATCTGCCAAAAACTGACAAGGTTATAGGCAGT